TACAGCTATTAGAATTAAAATTCTCAAAAATTGTGTGAATATGATTATTCTTGTTTTTGAAAAAAGGAAAAGGACAGAGAATTACATAGAAAATATTGGATGTTTTTTCAACTTATTGATTTGACATTAATTAAATTTCAATGCGATGAATAATAATACTTGAATGTTTGCGTTCTTTACTAAAATCGAAACTATGATACGTATTTATCGTGAGCTTTTTCCATTCAACTCAAAAAAATACTGATTTAGTATCCATATTTTCTCTGTTCATGTCTCATTTCTTTTCTTCTCTTTCCAAATTTAATATAAAATCTTTACGTTGAATTTACGCGTATATTCGCAATACGAGCACTTCAGTCTTATTTTTATGTGAAGTTGACTGCATATCATTCATGAGTAATGTCGGGCTACTCAAAAGTTATTCGTAATGTGAATATTCACAAAATTCTTGTCGGGAATCATTGTTCATTGTGCTAATATCTCTTTTATTTTACTAACAACACTTTTGTCAAACTAACTCTAGATTTCCTAGCGATTTTAAAGCCATTTCCAAGCTATTTCCAAGCAATTTTATAGTAAGTATTGAAACGTACGATTGAATACGTGCATGTTTTCATTTCTTCAACTCATTCATTACAATAAGAAAAATATTTCAATTAAAATGCTGCACATGATAAGGTTCAAACTTTTACTAGTTCTGTAATAAATATCAGCCACCAAACTAAATTGGCTAAATTCAATGAATTCAGTTGACTTAAATTCCAATATTCGTTTAAAAAATGATTGAGCTTTTCACTGAATTCCTTGAAAATATACATATAGATTAAATCTTGTTTACTTTGCACAGAAACATTCATTAATTGTTAAATATTTGACAAGATTTGACCTACGTATTTAGATAAGCTTTAACTTGTAACTTTCATGATGACTAATTGATAAATTTTATTATCTTTTCTCTCACAAGACAACAGCAATTCAATCAAGTGAGTATGAATGTTAAAAGAATTCATTCATTCCTGAAATTATGTTTTACGTTTTAATTGAAATGAAATGTTAAATTAATGCCCATGACTTCTTCTGAAGACTTGAAATAAAAATCCAATCAAAAAAGCTATTACATAACGAATTCATTATTATCCAAGCTATTTGTTCAATACCATCTGAAGTAATTTGTTTATAAAGTAAATTTGCGGCTTGTTAACTGAATGATAAATCGAAATGGGTTTAGATTGAACAGTAACATAATAAATGAATGACTACATTTATTTCACCCTTTTGTGCGGTATATTTCCCTTTCTTCTAATGTAATATGTATGAACGCATTAATTTTCATTTCATTTTCTCGCAAAGAATCACGTACAAAAAAACAGAATTGATTGTAACACATACTTTGAATTTTTGTATTTATTTTCAACATGTTTTTCGTTCATATTTTCAATCTATTTCAGCAATGGCACGTGCAATCAACACCGCAAACCAAGCCAGCATCCTGGTTGCTCTAAGAGAGAGAAAATTGGTGACCGGAGAAAAACGTTCGTGCTTCATCAAAGACAACCGCATTTTTGGTTTCAAACCCAGTAAGTTTTATTTCTTTTATTCACTTGTTGTTTTACTTTCAAGCAGCGCTTCCTTAAAAAAAAAGATTAACCAAAATAATTGCTTCAATCCACTTCTTTTCCATTTCTCCATTCAGATCACATGTTCGATGATCAATCATCAAACGACGATGTCTTCAGCATCGTTGCGAAGCCAATCGTTGATGATGCTCTTAACGGCATCAATGGCTCTATCTTGGCGTACGGCCAAACGGGCTCTGGTAAATATACATTTTAATATCATACATATTGAGTTGACATTATTAAACTGTTGGATTATATTTGAAAACTCTAAATATTTCATGTGTTTTCTCTTGATATTTTGTCACAGGTAAAACTTATACAATGTTTGGAACTTCGTCCGACCCCGGCGTCGTGTTGCTCGCCACCGAACATATTTTCAAGGTTGTGAACGATCGTCGCAAATCATATCAATTTGTGATAAGGTAAATGTGCATTTTCAAGTTAAGATTTGATGGTAAAAATCATTTGAATTATCTAACAGATCGTGCTATAGTTTTAATTCTTTTGTTCTTTCGATTTTCCTCTTTTAACTATATGCAACTAATTATACATTTTGTTTTCATAAATTTAGCATGAAATACATCGAAGTGTATGGTGATACGTTGCGCGATCTTCTGGATGGTGGTAAGGCCACATCGTTCCATTTGGGACAGATTGCCAGCACGGAAAAAACGGTCAGCGATGCTAGTGCCCTCCTCAAATTGAAGAAAGACGGCGATGTACAGCGCACGATAAAAGCCACGAATCGCAATGACCATTCAAGCAGATCTCATGCGATCTTGCAAATCGTAAGATATTTCTATAACTATTTCATTTGAAGACAAATAACAAATCATTTCGTTCCATAATAATAATATCGATTCATTAAAGTAAAAATTAAACTAATACATTGTTGAATTTGGACGTTTTTGCAGAAATTGGAATCGACGAAGATTGATGCGAATGGGTTGGAGGGAGGGAAGGCACTTGTAAGTATGCTGAACTTCGTCGATTTGGCCGGCTCCGAACCGCATGATGCTGGCAAAACCAAAGATCAGCAAGCAGAGGGGAACAGCATACGGGCGGCCTTGTGCTACCTGTCAGCGATGGTAAAGAGCGGTGCAGTGACTGGCAACCTCTGCAAAATTCTCAAGGAGTCAATTCTTGGGAATTGTAAGACCGCCTTCATCTGCACTGTTTCGCCTAGCATGATAGCGGAAACGAGGAGCACGATCACGTGAGTTATTGATGTGAAATCGTAGAATGAATTTGTCCTTTGTTATCCTTCCTAACCATGAAAACCTTCTCAAGGTTTCATTTGTATGCAAGAGCAGACTAGTACAGAACCAGTAGAGTACTAGAACTTACTTCTTTCCAATTTTATAATATCTATTGATATAAAACTGTCGTGGACTTTTGCATTAGTTTTAAGTTTTTTTTTTTTCTTTGTTAATTTTAATTTCGTGTTTGTTTCATTGATTTTTCTAATTTGCTCATTTAGTTTGCTCATGCATTGTTCAGTCAAATCACCGAACGCTGAACGCACTCACATTTGCTCTCGTTTCAAATGCGTTCTGCGACTTGACTGACATTTCGTTGTGTGTTTGTGTGAGTAACATTCATGCTAAGACGCTAATACAAAGGTAAGTGTATTGCGATGTGGCGACAGTTTGAAGAGAAGGAAAAAGTGAAATCAGTTCTTCGTGAGTCTCAGCACAGGACAGTTCCTTTTGAATTGGCAGTACAAGTTGTGCGCAATTTAATCTGAGTTCTCATTGATACTCGATACACGGAAAGTTTCCATAAGTATCAGCACAAGTTGTGCATATTTCATTTAGGAAATCTCTTCGAATTGGCCAGCTCTAAAGTTTAGACGGCTGATTTGATAATTTCTTGAATGAAATAAAAGTGAAACAACGCGAAACTCGAATTGGCTAGCTCTAAAGTTTAGACGGCTGATTTGAGTGTTTGTCTAAACGTAAGTTGAATCGCACGTAAATTCAAGTTGAATTATTGCGTCGAGAAGTTCTCGTTGGCCGGTTCAAACTTCATGTTTGACAAACATTCGCCTGTTTCCATACATTTTCTTCAATTCCATCACGCAAATTTCACGCTTCCAAATTCAAACCACAATCGAAAGAACATTCCGACACCAAATCACCCCAAGCATTCAAAAGAACAACATTTGAATAAATCTACCAAAAACAAATCGACGCATTTTATTTTCTTCATTTTGAATCGACTTTGGCAGCAATAAAAAGGCATAATATTGCTTCACAAAAACAGTATTCAGTTCATTTATCAAACATTACAAAAAATATTTCATGAAAAATAAATCCAAATTAACAATTTTCACATAAATTATGATGATATGGCACGAATATTTGATGAATTTTAATCGTAAATTTATGTATTTCTCATTTAGATTTGCCGAATCCGTTCAACAAAAAACGACAAAACCGAAGGTTAACGTGGCGGCAATTTCGGAAAATTTGATGCGAGCCACTCGAAAAAGCCTTGCTGCACAGACACAGTCTGTGGTATCGCAATCGTCCAACGGTAAATAATAAATTCATTGTTTTTTTAGTTCTTGCCGATCCTTATTTTACGACAATTTTTGAAA